TACGCCGGTTGATGCATGAGTCATCGGAGTGCATGGCCTCAAGAAATTCTCGACTATTCTTGGAGGGGCAAACTCTGATGATGCGTGTTTTGTCCATGCAAAGATGTGTCCTTTGTCAAAGCAATGCATATGCACTTCGGACAAATGATCATGTCTTTTCACTGCCAATTGGTGCTCGTAGATGCGTGTGAAGAAAGGATCTTCCTGTTTGGCCACAATATACTGTGGCGCTTTTCCTTGAAATTACATTTCTTGGGATGCCTGCTTTCCAGTTTAGACGAAAAAACTAAGTATCAGGAGAAATACAAAAAATTGCTCTGCGCCAAAATACTGGGAAGACAGGTGTGCCCTAGTCTACAACTGCATATAAAACAAAGTTCAAGGGAACAACTAGCAAAAAAGAAAGGAGAGGGAGGAGATCAGACGTGGGACCAGCAGGCATTCAATAGCTCGCCTTTGCAAAGTCGTATAATTGGGCCAGCGCCTTGGTCGATTCAACACTTTTCGATTCACTTAACTGTCATTCACTGCATATGTGGATATGTCTGTTTCACCCTTCTGAGATTCAACGTCTGTATGTATATGCAATGCCAGACTTCAGTAAACCACGGTCCCTGAGGCCTGGTAGGCGCTGACACTTTCTCTTGGTTCTGATCCCCTGTCGGTTCATGCGTTTGCGCTCCCACTGGGTTTCCGGCCCCACCTCAGGTGTCCCAGCAGCTAGGCGGTCGCTAGACGGTGGGGGTGAGAGTGAGGTCGACTCTCAGCTCATTTCTTTCCTCACTATAGTCCATCTGATGCGCTTGAATCTATCAGGGTGCGCTTAAAGCCGTGGCTTTGAGGGCTGCCAACTGACGGGATAACTCGGGCCTCCTACGTTGCTGCTCCTCTGGTACGCACGTGTTTTGTGTGCATATGTGAAAAGGTGGAGGACTGAGAGTCAGGTTACAATGGCTCCTTAATGTGGCCTTTATGGCGCTCCCACGCACGCGGGAGCCTACCTAGCGAGGTGTGCTGAGTCAAGTGTGCGCGTGCTGTGTGACTATCGCGCCAGCCACCTACATCCTCCCTATCCCCGGTCTTATTGGCTTTGTCTTTACACTGGAAACGGAGGTGGGAGTGGCGAGCGATTGGGTAGATTCCCCGCGAGTCTGCTTTAACTCTTGTTTTCAACTGCGGTAGTTCGTTGCGTTGCTTCAGCTAGCTGTAGCCTTCGTGCAGCTTGCCCAGTTTGCTTCAGTGTCTGCTTCGGCTTGCTTCAGTGTTCGCTGTGGCTTGTTGGAGCACGCGGCTGCCCATCGTCGAAATCGACGAGGGAACTGTCGGATATGTCTGCATGCATAAGTAGCCTAACAGACTAGTAATCTTAGCCTTTCTCGAATGCATTTATTGGCATCCACAGACTTCTCGCGGTGAAACTTTTACCCTTGGCTTTTTCGTTTATTTTCCCAAGGATATGTGACTGTTTTGAAGAAATGCAAACAAAATGTCGCACCATTCCTCAGAACAGTGAAGAACTGGTCGAGATGAACCAATACATGGAGGAGGCCAGATGTCAAGGAATGGTCAGAATGGAAAATAAGATCAGGGTAAAGTACAGAAGCTTAACGGCTGCTTAACATTGTATGTTTGTAAGGCTACATAGTTCATCCTAGATTAGTCGATGTAAACTAAAGATTAAATGTTTGTTGATACTTTTAGGTAAGGAGGTATGGCTTCAACATAGGAAGATTAGAAAAAAAAACTGCGAAATGGATTTTTTCTGACATGTTTTATTCTACTCATCCTTAACTCACGAACCACAGTGAGACCCATGCAAGCAAAATCGTGCACTTCTCTTGTTGGAAAAGTATTTGGCTAAACAGATTGGACTGGAAACCAGTCAGTAGAGTTCGAAACCATGACAAAATTATTTTCTTTTTCATTTATTTAGTGGACTAGGGATTACCTGACCTATCTACTCGATGTGTACGACTTCACACCGGAGGACATTAAGCAGAACAGTCAAGTTCTCACCTGGAAGAGTCGTATCTACCCTGAGTTTGACGCTAACGACAAGGTGAGTGAGTGCTTATTTTAAACAGGGACTATTAAGTCCCTTATTCGGTAAAAGATTGCATTAACCGACTCTTTCTTACATCCCAATGTTCTTTAAAATTGTGTCCAGTTCTGCAATTTAAAGGTATTACAATACCCACTTAACAATAACCAACAAGGAAATATTCTTTATCACACAAGGCTAAGGATTATCATTGTGAGCGGGGTAAACCAAGCTTGACGAGGAAGTTGGAAACATCAACAGGGATTTACATTCAGCAAAGACGCGCCAGAGGGGAGCATTACATCGTTTAGGTGCAAAGAGACCCAGTTGTAATACCGAAAAATAAATATCCTGAGACATATTGCCGGGAAGTACCAATGATACAATCTAGTCGGCTCATGTATGTCTGACCGTAGACCAGTTCACTTATACAAGTAAGTGAATGTCCGGCTATCTTCTACTTCATATGATTTACGCTATACTTTTTGAATTCTTCCTCTTCCATCAACTGGATCTGTTAATAAATAACAAAAATACCGTTCCAATAATCAAATGTTGCATCTGCGTTTTTTAGCTCCAAGAGCGCATGCGAGCAGTGAATGAATCGCGTATTTATGGTAGACGAGAAAAGTTGGCAGCTGAGCTCGAAAGACTACGCAACCGCGTTGACGAATTCAACGACTACGGTGAGATCGACGATGAGATGATGGCGCAGTATGTTAACGACGTGCGCGCTGTCTACAAACGACTGGCCGACGCCGAGAACGAAAGAATGTGGATTAATAAGGAGGAGGCACTCTACCAAATCCCCTTCACGCCATTTAACGAAATTGAAGAAATTAAGGGGCTTGTTGATCCCTTTCAAAAGCTCTTCACGATGTGTGTCAAGTACTACAAATCTGAAAGGAAGTACGTCCTACAAAAAACCTTTTAATAACTTCCATTCATCCATAAGGACCCATTTTTGTGCTTTTTATATCTCATATACAGCGAGGTTTCGTAATTCACTCTAAAGAGCTCGCCAGCAACACCTAAAAATTAAAGGTTCTTTGTCCCTTTGCACTTGTGATAAATCAGTTACTTGGCGTTCTAGGGTCCCCAGAATGAATAAGAGTCGTAGTTACCTTTTGAGATATTTTTTCCTGAGCTTCTATCTAAATATGTGTGCTAATGTGTAGTTTTAGTCTTCAACAACAGCACTGAACGTAAAGGTGATTGTCTGTGCTTGCACTGCGGAGGGCAGTTTTAATATTCCTCGTTTGGGTCATCGCGTTCTCAAAAACACATTTCATGAGAGGGTACAACATTATTACTTCAATTTTCGTGCCTGTCGATTGAGCAAACACCAATTGAAAGTGGCGCTTTACCCTTATAAATAATATACTTGACTTTTTAAAAAGAGATACAAGGCTAGGATTAATAACACACTGACGTTGTGTCATTAACCATTGTTAAGATATATTCGGAGCTTTTCACGAAAATAAGCGAGCTCAATTACGACTAGCGGCGTTGGGGCATCCAGAACCCCTTATATGCTAGCTAATTTTCTTAAATGAACAAAATATCTGACTAGATTCCATAAGCCGAATTCAGTTTGATTTTCCAGTTGCCCCTATCTCTAGCGATCGTTCACATTGAATTCATTTACGTTTAGCAGATGGGCGCTTACTGATGGGTTGCGGAACTGACTCGTCCAGTTGTGCCTTGGGGCTCGCACTCGAATCCCGCCGGCAGCCCCTCAACGGCTGACATATTATGGGCAAAAATATATAACCGACAAAAACAAGAGAGACTGGAATGGCCATTTCTGGCTTACGAGGTAGCTAGAAGTCCAAGGTGGGTTCGAGCCCAGGGGTGGTGCATTACATAAGATTAGGTATGGCTGGCTGACGACGATCCATAAGCCAAAAATGGTCATTCCAGTCTCCTTTGTCATTGTCGACAATATACTTCTGTTTTACGTTTGTCCATTAAAGTTGACGTCGACCTCAGCCCTCACTAACTGATAAGGGTCCCATAATATTTGACGTCACTAACTAAAAATGCTAACGTCAAATGGGCCGCAGCGGATAGCTACGGGGGTCTTGTAGTTACGATACTCGCCCGAAAGACGGAACGATTTCCATTCCTGCTTCCGCCCGCTCTCGCGAACCTACAGTTATAGATCATTCAGATTCAAGTGTAACAGGAGCATTGTCTAGTTGCTGTTTACAAAATGATTTAATTGTTTGCACCGTACGCCCTAAAATATTATTAAAAGAATGCATGTAGCTAACGCGTCAAAAGCTATAATTTTCTTCCCAGCACTTTAAATGGAGCTATCAGCGGGTAATCACGCGAAGGCAGACAAGTTTGACTTTTTGTTTTTCTGGCCAGGGAAGTAAAGGAAAGGCCCACGGCTAATTTTTCAGCTGAATCTGACACCAAAGTTGCGATGTCTTGCCTGGTGCTCAATTTACTTAACCTTCTGGCTTGATATGATGACCTCATCCATTAAGATCAAGCACAAATGAAGAAAAAGTTTAGTTGAAGTGCTTACGAATCAGCAGTTATGAGATAAGATGCAGACTGATTGG